GAAGAAATCAAAGAGGATATCAAAAAATACCTAGAAACAAATGACGATGAAAACATGACGGCCAATACCTATGGAATGGAGCAGAAGCAGTTCTAAGAGGGAAGATTATAGCAATACAATCCGACCTCAAGAAACAAGAAAAATCTCAAATAAACCACCTAACCTTACACTTAAAGCAATTAGAGAAAGAATAACAAAAAAAACTCCAAAGTTATCAGAAGGAAAGAAATCATAAAGATTAGATATCAATGAAAAAGAAATGAAGGAAAAAATAGCAAAGATCAATAAAACTAAAAGTTGGTTTTTTTAAAAGATAAACAAAATGATAAACCATTATCCAAATTCATCAAGGAAAAAAAGTGAGAAAACTCAAATCAACAGAATTAGAAATGAAAAAGGACAAACAACAACTGACACTGCAGAAATACAAATGATCATGAGAGATTACTACAAGCAACTATGTGCCAATAAATTGGACAACCTGAAAGAAATGGACAAATTCTTAGAAAAGCACACCCTTCTAAGACTGAACCAGGAAGAAATAGAAAATATAAACAGACCAATGATAAGCACTGAAATTAAGACTGTGATTAAAAATCTTCCAACACACAAAAGCCCAGCACCAGATGCCTTCACAGGTGAATTCTACCAAACATTTAGAGAAGAGCTAACACCTATCCATCTCAAACTCTTCCAAAATATAGTAGAGGGAGGAACACTCCCAAACTCACTCTATAAGGCCCCCATCACCCTGATACCAAAACCAGAGAAAGATGTCACAAAAAGAAACTACAGACCAATATCACTGATGAAAATGGATGCAAAAATCCTCAACAAAATACTAGCAAACAGAATCCAACAGCACATTAAAAGGATCATACACCATGATCAAGTGGGGTTTATCTCAGGAATGCAAGGATTTTTCAATATACGCAAATCAATCAAAGTGATGCACCATAAAACAAACTGAAGGATAAAAACGATATGATCATCTCAGTAGTTGCAGAAAAAGCTTTCAACAAAATTCAACACCCATTTATGATAAAAATTCTACAGAAAGTAGCCATGGAGGGAACTTATCTCAACATAATAAAGGCCACATATGACAAACCCACAGCCAACATCGTTCTCAATGGTGAAAAAGTGAAACCATTTCCACTAAGATCAGGAAAAAGACAAGGTGGCCCACTCTCACCACTATTATTCCACATAATTTTGGTGGGTTTAGCCACAGCAATCAGAGAAGAAAAAGAAAGAAAGGGAATCCAGATCAAAAAAGAAAAGTAGAACTGTCACTGTTTGCAGATGACATGACACTATACACAGAGAATCCTAAAGATGCTACCAGAAAACTACTAGAGCTAAACAATGAATTTGGTGAAGTAGCAGGATACAAAATTAATACACAGAAATCTCTTGCATTCTTATACACTAATGATGAAAAATCTGAAAGAGAAATTAAGGAAACACTTCCATTTACCACTGCAAAAAAAGAATAAAATACCTAGGAATAAAACTACTTAAGTAGACAAAAGACCTGTATGCCGAAAAATATAAGATACCAATGAAAGAAATTAAAGATGATACAAACAGATGGAGAGATATACTGTATTCTTGGATTGGAAGAATCAACATTGTGAAAATGACTATACAATCCAAAGCAATCTACAGATTCAATGCAATCCCTATCAAACTACCAATGGCATTTTTTACAAAAGTGGAACAAAAATTTTCACAATCTGTATGGAAACACAGAAGACCTCGAATAGCCAAAGCAATCTTGAGAAAGAAAAACAGAACTGGAGGAATCAGGCTCTCTGACTTCAGACTATACCACAAAGCTACAGTAATCAAGACTGTATGGTACTGGCAGAAAAACAAATATAGAAAAATGGAACAGGATAGAAAGCCCAGAGATAAATCCACACACATATGGTCACCTTATCTTTGACAAAGGAGGCAAGAATATACAGTGGAGAAAAGATAGCCTCTTCAGTAAGTGGTGCTGGGAATACTGGACAGCTACATGTAAAAGAATGAAATTAGAACACTTCCTAAAACCATAAACAAAAATAAACTCCAAATGGATTACAGACCTAAATGTAAGGCCAGGCACTGTAAAACTCTTAGTGGAAAACATAGTCTGAACACTCTATAACATAAATCACAGCAAAACCCTTTTTGACCCACCCACTAGAGAAACGAAAATAAAAACAAAAATAAATAAATTGCACCTAATGAAACTTAAACACTTGTGCACAGCAAAGGAACCCATAAACAAGACGAAAAGACAACCCTCAGAATGGGAGAAAATATTTGCAAATGAATCAATTGACAAAGGATTAATCTCTAAAATATACAAGCAGCTCATGCAGCTCAATATCAAAAAAACAAACAGCCCAATCCAAAAATGGGCAGGAGACCTAAATAGACATTTCTCTAAAGACGATATACAGATTGCCAACAAACACATGAAAGGATGCTCAACATCACTAATCATTAGAGAAATACAAATCCAAACTGTAATGAGGTATCATCTCACACCAGTCAGAAGGGCATCATCAAAAAATCTACAAACAATAAATGCTGGAGAGGGTGTAGAGAAAATTGAACCCTCCTGCACTTTCAGTGCGAATGTAAATTGATACAGCCACTATGGAGAACAGTATGGAGGTTCCTTAAAAAACTAAAAATAGAACTACCATACGACCTAGGAATCCCACTACTGGGCATATATCCTGAGAAAACCGTAATTTAAAAGAGTCATGTACCACACTCTTCACTGCAGCTGTATTTACAATAGCCAGGACATGGAAGCAACCTAAGTGTCCACTGATAGATGAATGGATAAAGAAGACGTGGCACATATATACAATGGAGTATTACTCAGCCATAAAAAGAAATGGAATTGAATTATTTGTAGTGAGGTGGATGGATCTGGAGACTTTCACACAGAGTGAAGTAAGTCAGAAAGAGAAAAATAAATACCGTATGCTAACACATATATATGGAATCTAAAAAAAAAAACAACAATGGTTCTTAAGAACCTAGGGGCAGGACAGGAATAAAGACACAGATGTAGAGAATGGACTTGAGGACACAGGGAGGGGCAAGGGTAAGCTGGGATGAAGTGACAGTGTTATGGACTTATATATACTACCAAATGTAAAACAGATAGCTAGTGGGAAGCAACCGCATAGCACAGGGAGATCAGCTTGGTGCTTTGTGTCCACCTAGAGGCGTGGGATAGGAAGGGTGGTAGGGTGACAGAAGATGGAGGAGATATGGGGATATATGTATATGTATAGCTGATTCACTTTGTTATAAAGCAGAAACAAACACAGCACTGTAAAGCAATTATCCTCCAATAAAGATGTTAAAAAAAAAGAAACTTTTCCTTTCAAGAAGAAAAATTATGAAAGAAAATTATTTGTTCAAAAAAATTATTTGTTCAAAAAATTAACAGAAACAAGTGGTGTTGGAAAGACAAAAATTTACAGACAGTCCTCAACAGAAAATTAACCTTCTACTGCAATACTGTATCTACTATATAATATATGGATATATTAGTTTGACATTTTAGGCATTACCTTAACTAAACCTCATTATTAAATCCATAAATGTTTTTTTCTGACACGGAAAATAATATTCCACAATAAATGACTGAGGAAGTATAAATATAAATCATAAAATCTTAGTGAAAGAAAAAGCAATAGCATCTTTAAATACTAAGAATACTAGTGGGTACATCTTCTATGACAAATGTAGCACAAAATGAAAAAGTATAACATCAGATTTACTGGCATTTATCATTTGTGGACACCATTAAAACCAGTTTTCAAAAGGAGTGGGGAAGCAATCAGTTAAAGATTTTCTATGATTTAATACGATCAAATGAACATCTATAATATCTAACTTATTAAGACTAATAGTTTACTGATCAATACTTGCTTAAAGACCTTTCCTCATTGTACCCAACAATCAAGAGTAAATATGTCATAAACTTTGCCAAATCTCTATCAGTTCCCCATTTGCAAGACTTGCCTTACATTACAGAGCCAAGGCCCTAAAACACTGTATATATATAATGTATCCTCCCTTGACTTTCACCTTCTGAACTACTACTAAGACTCTGTCTAGCAGATTTTCCCTTTGTGAAGTAAGTCTTATAAAATTAGACTTGCTTATCAGTAGAAAGTAACAGTGATATTTTGGGGGAATCAACAGCCAACAAGTAAAATAACAAGTCTTTCGTTATTCTTTTTTCTCCCTTTTCTGATATTATATTATAAATGTGCTTTTGACAGAATGCCGAAAAATTCTTTGGATTATGACATTTTGACAAAGTAGAAAAACATACATTCAATAAAAATAAATTTGTCATTAACTAACCCAAATAAGAACATTCATTATGGTTTGCACTCTTAATTGCTATCAGCCAATAGGAAAACCTTTTCACACCAAATGGGGAATAAAAGCCTAGAGTGAACACAATTTCTAAAACCCTGCAGTTTATTTAAACCTCCTCCTTACAATCAGAAGACCCACAGCATAATGAGACATTTATTTATTATGAATCTAAACCACCTGCATTTATTAAAAGAAAATAAAAGATCAATACCTGGTTTTATTGGATCCACAGGGCTTTCTTCTTCTGAGCTCTCTAATAAATTCTTGATTTCAATAAACATTTGGAAATTTCTATTTCAATTTGTGTATGTAAACAAGTAAATATTTAGAGTTGTAGGGATATAAAAATTATATATATTTGTGCTGTAGAGGCTATTTATAGATAAATTGTTAAATAATTCTTAAATTCTCAAATAATTCTTTCAGAAATGTCAGAATTTATCTTTAAAAAAGCCTTTCTTAGCCAAAAGATTTTGGTTAGTAATAAGAATAGAACATATGGAGAGGACTTTAATGAAGACATTTCCAGTACTTTCTGGAAATTTTTCCATTCTTGGGTTATTATTAAAAGAGAAATATCATTGACAAACCTCATATGTCGCTGGACCAGGAGTAATCTCTTTGGAATCTTTAAAACGCTTTGATGCTTTAACAAATAAGGGTATGGAGCAAGATTTCTTTAAAACAGGATTGTATGTTGCAGGCCCTAAGAGAAAACAAACGTAAAAATAATAAAGCATGTTTTAAATTATTGATTTTGGTCACATGTATATTATTCTTAGATTTGTTATCTTAACATTTATATTTAGCATCACTCTTAAACCCATCCTTTTGAATGCTTAAAGTCATTCAGTTCAGGGATTTGAAATATGATAAGCATAAAACACAAGCATACCTCATTTTATTGCACTTTACTTTATTGCACTTTTCAGATACTGTGTTTTTTACAAATTCAAGGTTTGTAGCAACCCTGCTTCTAGCAAGCCTATCAGCACCATTTTTCTAATAGCATTTGTTCACGTACTTCTCACAATATTTCAAACTTTTTCATTATTAAAATTATATCTGTTATGGTAATATATAATCAGTGATCTTTGATATTACTATTGTAATTGTTTTGGGGTAGCACAAACCGTGCCCATATAAGATAGCAAACTTAATTCATAAGTGTTGTTTGTGTTCTGATTTCTTCCCCATCTCTCTCTCTGTCCTTGGGTCTCTCTATTCCCTGAGACACAACAATATTGAAATAAGGCCAAGTAGTACCCCTACCATGGGGCACTAGAAATCAAATGCTAGAAATGATTAAACTTAGTGAGGAAGGCATGTCAAAACCTGAGATAGGGGCTTCCCTGGTGGCGCAGTGGTTGAGAGTCTGCCTGCCGACGCAGGGGACATGGGTTTGTGCCCCGGTCTGGGAGGATCCCACATGCCGCGGAGCGGCTGGGCCCGTGAGCCATGGCCGCTGAGCCTGTGCTCCGCAACGGGAGAGGCCACAACAGAGCGGGGCCCGCGTACCGCAAAATCACAAAAACAAAAACAAAACAAAAAAAACCTGAGATAGGTCAAAAGCTAGGTTTCTTGCACTAAATATTAGTCAGCCAAGTTGTAAATGCAAAGGAAAAGTTCTTGAAGGAAACTAAAAGTGCTCTTCCAGTGAACACATGAATAATAAGAAAGCAAAACAGCTTTAATTCTGATATGGAGAAAGTTTTAGTGGTCTGGGTAGAGATCAAACCAGGCACAACATTCCCTTAAGCCAAAGGCTAATACAGAGCAAGGCCCCAACTCTCTTCAGTTTTGTGAAGGCTGAGAGAGGTGAGGAAGCTACAGATGAAAAGTTTGAAGCTAGCAGATGTTGGTTTAAGTAAAGACGCCATCTCCACACATAAAAGTGCAAGGTGACAGCAAGTGCTGCCACAGAAGCTGCAGCAAGTGCTGATACAGAAGCTGTAGCAAGTTATCCAGAAGATCTAGCTATGATAATTAATGAAGGCGGCTACACTAAACAACAGATTTTCACTGTAGACAAAACAGCCCTCTTTTGGAAGAAGATACCATCGAGGACTTTCATGTTGGCCAAAAGTTTCGTTCGGTTTTTTTCCGTAAGATGGCTCTAGTAGCACTTAGTTGTCTTTAACTTCATTCAAAACAATCTTGTTAGATTGTATGTGACAGCTGTCATATCAGCGTGCATTTAAAAAAGACATCAAAATTGGTGAATTCTTCTGTAGCCATTTTAATATTGAAGATGGAAGGAAAAAAGCAACATTTTTGGCATATTACACTTTATGATTTCAAGAAAGGTAAAAATGCAACTGAAACGCAAAAAAATGATTTGTGCAGTGTATGAAAAAGGTGCTGTGACTGACTGAACTTGTCAAAAGTGGTTTGTGAAGCTTCGTGCTGGAGATTTCTCGCTGGATGATGCTCCAGTCGGGTAGACCAGTTGAAGCTGACAGCAATGAAACTGAGACATTAATTGAGAACAATCAATGTTATACCACGTGGAAGACAGCTGACATACTCAAAATACCCAAATCAAGCGTTGAAAACCATTTGCACCAGCTTGGTTATATTAATCACTCATGATTGGTTTCCACATAAGTTAAGTGAAAAAAACCTTCTTGACCATATTTCCACATGCGATTCTCTACTTAAACGTAATAAAAATGTTCCATTCTTAAAACAAATTGTGATGGGCGATGAAAAGTGGATGCTGTACATTAATGTGGAACGGAAGAGATCGTGGGGCAGGTGAAATGAACACCACCAACCACACCAAAGGCCGGGCTTCATCCAAAGAAGGTGATATTGTGTATATGGTGGGATTGGAAGGGAGTCCTCTATTATGAGTGCCTTCCAGAAAATCAAACGATTAATTCCAACAAGTACTGCTCCCAGTTAGACCAACAGAAAGCAGCACTCAACAAAAAGCGTCCAGAATTAGTCAACAGAAAACGCATAATCTTCCATCAGGATAACACAAGACCACATGTTTCTTTGATGACCAGGCAAAAACTGTTACATCTTGGCTGGGAAGTTCTGATTCATCCGCCGTATTCACCAGATATTTCACCTTTGGATTTCCACTTATTTTGGTCTTTACAAACTTCTCTTAATGGAAAAATTTCAATCCCCTGGAAGACTGTAAAAGGCACCTGGAACAGTTCTTTGCTCAAAAAGATAAAAAGTTTTGGGAAGATGGAATTATGAAGTTGCCTGAAAAATGGCAGAAGGTAGTGGAACAAAAGGGCAGATATGTTGGTCAATAAAGTTCTTGGTGAAAATGAAAAATGCATCTTTTATTTTCACTTAAAAACTGAAGGCACTTTTTGGCCAACTCAATAGCTAGCGAGAAGTCAATGCCTGGCTTCAAAGCTTCAAGGACAGGCTGACTCTCTTTGTAGGGGCTAATTACGCAATGAACCCAATACTCATTTACCATTCCAAAAATCCTAGGGCCTTTAAGAATTATGCTATATCTATTCTGCCTGTGCTCTATAAATGGAATAACAAAGCCTGGATGATGGCCCATCTGTTAACAACATGGTTTGCTGAATATTTTAAGCCCACTGCTGAGACCTACTGTTCAGAAAAAAAGATTCCTTTCAAAATGTTACTTTACATTGACAATGTACCTAGTCACCCAAGAGCTCTGATGGTGATGTGCCATGAGATTAATGATGTTTTTATGGCTGCTAACACGACATCCATTCTGCAGCCCACGGATCAAGGAGTCAGTTTGACTTTCAAGTCTTATTATTTTGGGAGTTTTCTGGCAGTCCAGTGGTTAGGACTCTATGCTTCCACTGCAGAGGGGCCCAAGTTTGACCCCTGGTCTCCTGGTTACGGCACTGAGATCCTGCAAGACACGTGGTGCAGTCAAAATATAAATATATACTTCAGAAGGATCTAGCTGCCATAGAGAGTGATTCCTCTGACAGATGTGGGCAAGCTCAATTAAAAGCCTTCTGGAAAGTGTTCATCATTCTAGAGGTCATTAATGAATTTTTAATTCATGGGAAGAGGTGAAAATATCAACCTTAACAGGAGTTTGGAAGAAGTTGAATGACTGAGGGATTCAAGACTCAGTGAAGGAAGAAACCACAGATGTTGAAATAGTAAGAGGACTAAAATTAGAAATGGAGTCTGAAGATGACTGAATTGTTGCAGTCTCATGGTAAACCTTTAATGGATGAGGAGTTGCTTCTTATGGTTGAGCAAAGAAAGTGGTTTCTTGAGATGGAATCTACTCCTGGTGAAGATGTTATGAAGACTGCTGAAATTTTGATAAGAAAGGATTTAGAATATTACATAAAGCTAGTTGACAAAGCAGCAGAAGGGTTTGAGAGGAATGACTCCAATTTTGAAAGAAGTTCTATGGTGGGTAAAATGCTACCAAACACCATGCATGCTATAGAAAAACCATTCAGGAAAGGAAGAGTCAATTGATGCAACAAATTTCATTGTTGTCTTATTTGAAGAAATTGCCACGGCCACCTAGCTCTTCAGCAACCACCACCCTGATCACTCAGCAGGCAACATCAAGGTAAGACAATTTACCAACTACCAACAAAAAGAGTATGACTTGCTGAAGGCTCAAAAGATGTTTAGCATCTTTTAGCAATAAAGTATTTTTAAATTGAGGTATGTGCATTTTTTAGACATAACGTTATTGCACATTTAATAGACTACAGTACAGTGTAAACATAACTTTTATATGCACTGGGAAACCAAAAAATTTCTGTGACTCCTGTTATTGGGACATGTGCTTTATTGTGGTGGTCTGGAATCAAACCTGAAATATCTCCAAGACACGCCTGCACAGACCTCTGTGTACATAATAATTAAATTCAAATCAGAAGTAATTTCCGAAAGAAGAAAACAGTACCCCCTCAAAATATATCTACATAGTGAAAAAAGATACCCAACTCTTTTATTCCTACATATTCATTCACATGTTCAGTGAAGAGGTGATGACTGAACTGCATTGGGGATATGAATAAGATTTAAAGAAGCAGAAAGGTGGTTTAACAGCATTCTGGGCACTAAACATGACAGAAGTCAAGGCACAAATTTACATGGAAAAAGTTTTATGTAGCAAACAGATTGGTTAAATGGAACAGGGCCTAAATCCTAAATAAAGATTTTGTACTAGAGGCCATAGGTTTCAAATTGTATTCTAAAATGTACCAGAAATTCTAAAGAACTGCCCAGGGGACAATGTGTAGGTAAAGCCCAAATACAAGAGGCTTTAAATATTTTCAGCCAAAACAACTACAGATTTACTATTTTATTTGTTTGGGTCCCATACAAGATTTTATTTAACTGAAGTTGTTTAGTAATTTTTTTAAAAAAAGGCTTTTGAAAACCACTTCCATAGTCTAGCTCTTAAAGGTTTTTGACTAAAGGAGATTCATGAAGAAAGAGATAGTTTAAGAAATAAACTGTGGCAGTAGTTCATAGGATGGAATGGCTGGAAGATGGGCTGTTTCAGGGTCACTAACAAGGAGTTCACTAACATTGATAATGGAAAGGAAGAACAACTCAGAATATTTTCTAAGAAATGTAATAAACATTTAGTATGTACAGTGATTAGAAGAAGATAAAAATGAAAAGTGGCTATGAAAAAAGTAATACTATGATGGAAATAAAGAAACATAGAAAGAAGGAGGAGAGGAATATCTTGTGCTTGATTTTGAA